TGCATGAGCAATGGAGATGACATAAGTAAAAAGATTTTAATCAGACTTGTTGACGTTGGCGAAAAATTGTCGTTCGTCGTCCGTTTGTCATTCACCAAGTTATCGTTCGTTTTAAGATTGAGTCGTTTGTCGTTCATCGTTCGTTTGTCGTTCGTCTTTCTGAAAAAATTGACGTCTTTTTTAGTCTTTTTTGGCGCCAAAAACGAACAACGAACGATAAAACTTTTTTGTGGTTCGTCAAATTTTTTGTCGTTCATCGTTTGTCAATAACAAATGAATGGCATATCAACAAATCTGATTTCAATTATTTGAAGGCCATTGGTTCAGATAATAGGGGTGGACATTAGGTTCAAATTACTACTATGTACTAAATGAACGTTGATAAATCACCAATTTATAACAAGAAGAAAAATGGACATTTTTTAATAGTATCGAATCATTTGAACTGGAACATATACTCAGAACTAAGAATATCATCCTTCAGAACTCTTATGTGTATTTTCTTATGGGCTAAAATCAAAGAAATGTATGCATCCTTTGAATTGACTCTTCCCATATTCAAATTCAATAAAGCAGTTTCTTCAAGCTTAGTGCTAATTAATTGTCTTTGTTTTATTTGATTAACCCTAAATTATGGTATGACGTATAAAAAAGAAAATATACGCAAGAGATGCCACCGAAAAAAACTATGTTTCTTAGCAACTTACCAAAAAAAAAGCATCCATAATGGCTATATAATCAAAGAAACTAAAAGATCGATGTGCCCCAGACGACTTCTCATCATTTCAATAAAATCAAATCATTATCAACTTATTGTAGTGAATAAAAATTATATTAAAGAAATTCGAGGAAGGCTACACATACTTTAGAAATACATTATTTGGCCATGTCCAGCTACCTACCTATACGCTTATTTTATGTCAAGAAATAAAGATATCGGACAGCTTCATAATGTAGGAATCAATGTTGGTGGCAAAACACATCAATTACTCTATACAGACTGTTACGGTTTGTGCCTAAGATCTGTCTTAATAATACAGGAAAACATTAGGCTTGACTCAAAAATCTACAAATCACGAATGATACAATCATTTTTTCTCTTTATTGAAGTATAGTCATTATTATTATTGAAAATAGCGATAAGAAATCGTTTTGAGGAGGGGCACTTCAGTTTCTTTTAAGGAATCCCTTCTGATGCTCTTCTTCGGTGGTCTAAAATATAGGGTATAACTTTTTTTCTTAGCACAACTTCTCCCCAAAAAGCTCAAATTATTTCATGAAGGGGCACTTTTAATCACTTTAAGTTTAGTCCAAGCCAAATTCTGATTGACGAAAAACTTTTATCGGCGACTCGGAGATATTTATAAAAATACGCGAAAATGTCTTGTTTTTGTTTATTGAGAATGTAGAAATCACTTAAAATAGTTGCCGAAGTGTTTTATGGTTTTTATAATCCTGAAAGTCAATCAAATGAATGGTATTATTCATAGCATTGGTTTAGTCCACAAATAATGTTAAACAAATGAAAATGTTTAACAAAAACCGGTCAAAAATGAAATTCTAAGACGCTAAATTTAGTATTTTTGGCGTAATTTAGTATTTTTAATCAATTACAACGATAACGGATCACTATTTGACATTCATTACAATATATATATATATGTATATATATATAATTAATACGAAAAAAGAAACTGAAAACTATAAAACCAAAATTAACCTCCATGTATAAAAGATAACATTTAAAACAAATATCGACAATCATGGAGAGTTTCCAAGGGCTGGCAAATGATACGCAGCCCGCCATATTTCTTCTCGTTTCGCCCAATGATCAAGTCTTAGCATTCTGTATGGCTCCAACAGATCCTTTTTAGTAGTTTTCAATCAATTATATTGTGAATGACTTTTTTTTTTTTTTTTTTTGCCTATATAGTTCGATAGAATTGCAACCGTTAGGATATAAATAAGCATTATAACATTAAAATTAGTCTATCGAACCTAGGATCTTATCAATGAGGTAGACCAAAAATGACCATCCCCTCTCGGGATTCGAACCTGCGCCCCCAACATTGAGAGTTGAACACGCCTTAACACGCACGGCTATCGATCAAGTCTGAGCTTTCTGTATGGCTCCAACAGATAATTTTTTGTAGTTTTCAATCAATTATATTGTGAATGACTTTGTTCAACACATTTTAAACAGTTGTTATTATTGAAGTCTGCTATATTAATGTATTGATTTCTGTATAATTTTACGTTTCATAGATATGGGTTCATTGGAAATATTGTACAAATACTCATTAACTTCGAAATCGTTAACTTTACATATAAATATGATAAGCAAAAGCAATTTTCCTTGTTAGTGAATGACTAATAGCGCCAAAACTAGTCAGCTATTTTTGAAGTCACACATACAATTGACTGGGAGAGGTCGGAAATTAAAATTAGGCAATCAGCCAGTATAAGGAAATAATATTGAACTTATTCAATTCCTACGAAGTCAGTTTTATTTATGATCTTTCAAATTTATTTGAAAAGCGGATACACTAACAAAATATCTGGCCAGAGTCTTAAGTCAGGTTGTAGTCATTGTTTAGTCCTTTCACTAAGAAATAAATGTTGTTTTCTTTATTAAAAAAAAGTATTTTGCACATTTAAAAATAATTTGAAAAATCTATTATGAATAGGATGCAGACATTAAAAAATTAAATGTTATGAAAGTCATGCACTAAAAACGCTTTATAAAAACTAAACAAAATAATATCCATCTAGATTAGTGTTTGTCTTTTTGAAAATATCAGTCAACAATAATTATTTGTATAGTCACCTCCATCATATTATTTATGTATCACATTTTTTGTGCGTAAGTATATAACAGTTTCTCAACTGAAATACATTCAAAAATTAACGAAATAGTTGCAAACTTGGACTTTTTTTAAGTTGAAACTTCCATACCACAAACATTGCGTTTTTACCTTATATATATATATATATATATATGTGTGTGTGTGTTGGAAACATCTTATCCTCTCACAGAATCAAAAAAGTATTCATTCAAGTGCTAACAGGAGTCTTCATATCTTAAAAGATAAATAAACTATTGATTCTAAATATGTGGACATAAAATACTTCATTATGTAGCATGAATTGAGTTATGATATCTATGACGCAAGTTCTCTCCCTTTCTACAAAAGTGAAGGTTACCTCTATCAAGGTCAATAATACCTGTCCATGGATCTCGAGGACAAAACTTAATGTCTATAAGATTGATGCAACTCCATAGAACCATATTACAAAACACAAGACTTTGTTTTCTCCTTCTACATACTAAGATTTAATTTATTATAATACATGTGTTTAGTCCTTTGTGTTTACAATTCATTGTTCATATCAATACTTAATAAAAAAACTGATAATTGGATAAGATAACTAATATCTTGAGTTAATGGAATAAGCATAAAAATACTTAATAAGACAATATGAGCAATTCTCATTAGGCAAAACTTTGTATATTAATTTAAGAATGTTTATATACCAATAAGAAAAACCTAAAGTTAGAATACAATGACTATTAAGTCCAAATAGTTTAAAAACCATAACGGAATATTTAAGTAAATAAAAGCTAAAAAAGAAATAAAACTTTTCGTACAATGAGAAGATGGAGTGTTACAAGATTAAAAACACCAAAAAAAGTTGGGATCAATACATCAACATTTGGCACATAAAATTTGCTGGTTTGTTAAGTTATCTTCAGTGATTTATTCAGTATAAATAGCCAATACATGTTGTTGCTTATTAAAGTATTATTGTAAGCAAATGATTTGTTCACTTGCATAATTGAAAGTGATAATATAAAAATTGATACAAGAAATAATAATTATGTCTGTCTTGTATGGCATTATTAAGAAAACAACTCGTTTAACTTACTTTTTACAGAAGTATTTTCTTATGCTATAAAGATAAAATATTAATATGCTATTCATTTATCTTTTACACCCCCTCCTAAACAAACGCATCTCATATTTCACCATCGTTATGAGTATACATGGTGATATGATCTATCCGTGAAGACTGTAAAGTAAGACTAATTAATCAATCAATGATATAATTTATGTACATATATTTATAGCACCCTATCAAAACTAATATGTCTTGTGCTTTATCTTTATTCCTCGTCACGTGATAATACAAATGAGTAAGAAGGGTCTTTAATGTGTACAAAATAGATAAAAGCTTAAATATACCATTTAATGAGTAACTTACTGCCTGTATTTCGTATGCACAATTTCAAGGTCACTTGCTAGCTCTTAAAACCAGTTATTTTTTGTTTTTATTAAACTACATATATTTTTTACCACTGATATGTAGCAGTCGTGGCCGAGCGGTTAAGGCGTCTGACTAGAAATCAGATTCCCTCTGGGAGCGTAGGTTCGAATCCTACCGACTGCGAATTAATATTTTGTACCTTGGTTACTCAAAAAAGAAATAAAACTAAACCTACAAATGCTTGCCAAATTATATCATTTTTTGTGAAATGACTCATTCGGAAGGAAATACCAAACACCTCTATGTAATATATTTTATATTCATTAAGTGCGTAGGTTGAACCAATTATAACTTTTTTAATGTACATGCTCACTTATTTTGTAAATCTAAAAATGAGATATGTGCATAAATACCAAGACATATGTGAAATAAAAACATATATACATATTCATATTGTATCATTTTTGCTCTGGGCAGAACATATCCAGTAAAATATAATATCTTATATAACTAAGACATTATTTACTCAAAAAAGCTTGAAAGAGACTACATTGAATTCGATTTAAACCGACCGGAGGCTGCGTTACTTTCTTTCTTTTTTGTCTTTGAAGATGATCCAAAAATGTTTCATACAACTACAAACGAACCATCTTCTCTGGCGATTCTTGTTGTTGATGTATCCTGGGTCCTGCCCCAAATTTGTTTCCCAGTTGGATTTAGACAACTAAAAGATTTTTCGCAGTCGGTAGGATTCGAACCTACGCTCCCAGAGGGAATCTGGTTTTTAGTCAGATGCCTTAAACACTCGGCCACGACTAATCATTAAAAATATTTGAAGAACAAAAACCGAAATATCTAACCTTGAAAATGTGCAAATAAAGCAAAATTTATATAGATATGTTGATGAGTCGTAGAATTGACTTTTAATTTAAATGAAATTCATTCTCAAAAAGAGTAAATATAGTTTGAACTCCTTATTATATAAATATTTGGAACAAATGGTTGATGGAGTTGTTCTTATTTGTAACTGTGATTTATTTAGAAAACTAAAAGATTTCTTTGCAGAAGGTAGGATTCGAACATTTTATATTATTTCTTGTATTCTTAAAGATAGCACGAATGAAAATGTTATTTCCTTCTACTTCCCTCAACAAGGAGTAGTGGCCGAGTTGTTATGACGTCTGGCTCGGAATATGCGAAAGTCCGAATCCTATCAACTGCTAAGAAACATTTACACAGATAAAAGAACTCATCAAGTCCGAGGAGATGTCTTTGCATTTTTATTTCATTGGTTGAGAACTGACGTAAATACTAGTAAGAATTTCATGCTTGTTATGAAAATAAAAACCTCGTGGTCGTTCGTATCAAAAGCATTATAGTGGCTAGAAATAAACCTTTGCATAAATTTTGTTTCGAGTAACCAAGACACAAAACAGATTCGAACCTACGCTCCCAGAGGGAATCTGATTTCTAGTCGGACGCCTTAACCACTCGGCCACGACTGCTTGTTGTTCATTAACAAAGAAAATAATCAATTTATAACTTTTTTCTTCAAAAAAAGTATCAAACCTTGAAAATGTGCACATCATGCAGAAAATTGGTCTAGCTTAGAGTTGAGGTATAAAATAATCACATCCTTATGTTGTTATACAAAAAACAATTTGTACTTATCGAAATTCTGTTAATGAAAAAATAATATATTTCGAATTGATGGCAACCAAAGAATGATTTCTATATGATAATTATTTAAAAGTAATAGTTTTATATTATAGATATCAATTTACCAGGTAAGGGGAAATGGGAGATCAATTTAAAATTGCTTAAAATATAGTTAGTAGAGGAAAATAAAAGTTGTTAAAACTGTACTTTGGGTGTCTCGTTGATCGTCTTTGCACCATATCTCATAATGCACCAAAGAGAACCTCACTTTTATGTAAACTGTACTTGTAAACATTCCAGAATAATTGTGACAATTCCTAGATTCGATAGTGAGTGCAAGGGGCCAAATGCCGCGCACATGGCTGTGCAAGTCACCATAAATGACGCAGCCAGGAGCATCGTTGGATGTAGAAGACGGGATCACATCCACATCGGGGATCTCCTTGAGAGAGCAGGCCTTCCCTCCCTCAACGAGGTGGCCGCCAAGGCGGTGGCCGTGGAGACCTGGAAATGCTTTTACTCCAACGACGGGGGCGGCGGTGCCAGGAACCCGGTTTGTGATTTCGTCTTCCCCATCCCGAGGAGGCCCATGAGGTCCACGACTCCAGTGGCGTACTCACTTTGGAGGGAGACAGCTACTTTTGCATGTGGAACTTGTCTAAGGCCTTGAGGTCGGCCACTACCCTCCACACTGCCAGGACCGCAGCTAGGTCCATTGGACGCAGCGTCCCCATATAATCCATTCTGCATGGCATTTTGTTTTATTTTTTTTTATTTTTTATTTTATAAAATTTTATTGTTTAATATTTATTTTTAGACTAGTTACTAATGTGCCCCATGGCAAATATATACTCGATTACACACACTTACATTACTAAATTTCAAAAAGAGTATGAATGCAATAACAATGCATAACCATTTGGAACATCAGGTTCCGAGGGCCATAATTTAAGAGCATTGAGGGTTCCATCCCTACGCCAATGAACCAACACAATCCACAATTATGGGAGATTAGTGTTCCAAATCAATTACCACACAGCATTCTACATGTCATAAATTTGACAAATCTACCTCCAATGGGTTGCGGCTGTCACAACGAAGACATATTTTGGGGCTTCAAAATAACCGTCTATAAGGTCTCGGGTTCCACATGTATCAATTATGTTCAATATTTCGTTTCAAAACAGTAGATCAATTTAGCCGTTCATACCGTATATTTTCCCTTCCAAAAAAAGAAATTTTGTTCCAATTAAACACCAATCTATTAGTTCAACATATTTTCTGCCGCACTGTGGGAAAAATCAAAATGATATCCAAGAGATACACAGGTCCTTTGCACACAAGTCCAAAAAAGCATGAATAAGTTAATTTAAAAATATGAACGGAGGAATTATATATATATATATATATATATATATATATATGTGTGTGTGTGTGTGTGTATGTAAGTAGGTAGGTCGTTAATTGTTGGTGCAATCCCTTGGCCGAAATGACCCACCCACATCAGGGTATTTAAAACTTGAATTTCCCATTTAAAAATATTTATTTTTGAATGAATTAATAATTTTGCAACATGACATTAAAATTTTCACATTTAAGAGAAAAAAATAATTAATGTTTCCAAGGAGCCCATCAATTACATTGTACTACCCGCCATTGATTTAATGGCTGGACACAGAATGTCATTTACAGAAAAAATAATTTTTTTTCTTTTTAGATTTTAAAAAAAATCGCCTTTGTAGAGTGTCCTTTTGTCTCCGTTCTTAAGCGATTCATTGTTTTGAACGTGAAAGGAATGGAGAGGTCCAAAGAAAATATAATTAAAGCAGTTGTGTTGCTTGGACTCAACAAGAGGAAAACCAACCAATCCGTTGTCTCGAAGTCAATCGAGTATGCTATATTAAATGCGAAAGCCCGAATAGCAAACAAACTGACAAGGGCGACTTTTTAAGTTCCGAAGATCTTCGAGCAATCATTTTAGCAGCTGCTGCCAGTTATGGAGCTCTTTCTTTAAAAATTCCTTCTCCTAATAACGACTCTTGGACTTTTGCGTCAAAAGAAGTAAAGTATTTCCCAACAAAGTCTTAAAGCCATTTAAAAAATTTAAGAGATGTTAAAGTTTTATTAGACTATATACTGATTCGACAAGTTTATTCATAGCATTGTTTTATTCATGTTTTAATATTTTGTGAAATGTGTTTTTTTAGATGATACCTAAGGTTTTCATAGATATTTTTAAAAGATTTATTTATATACTAATATCTAAATGTGCGATGCATAAAAGTTTTTTGAAAAGTCAAGATAATGAATATCAACGACATCATCTCCTACCAGCAGACCGGTTGCGAACGGTTCTCTCAAAAAGGGCATCTTTAAGACGTCCATCAAACACCCCCATCCCCATAACCGTGTTATGGAGATGTCTCTCTCAATAACTATCTCAATGGACTCGCTGATGTCTCGCCGGTAAGAATGTGTAAGATCTCCCCGTATTCAAAATTATCAGACCCGGCATGATAGAACCCAAAATTACCTCTTATGAAAGCTTCATAAAGTTTGAATTTATATTTAGTATTGTTATGTTGGAGTGCAAATTTTAGATTATAATGTCTATTTACGTAATTAATTTACGCATGTATTCAACCCTTATAAGAAATGATTTTTTTTACTCTATTAAGAAATGTGTTGACTAGAAGTTTTTTAAGTAATATTGAAATATATAAAAAACAGTTTGCCTGCAGGATATAAAACAAGAAGTTTCTTCATCGTGTCCTCCTGGATGTTTGATATGTAAGCCCGGGCGCTACCATGTGTTTTTTCACGGGGAAAAATTCGAGAAGAGGAGTACTCACTTTCATCACAAAAAGGATTAAAACAGTGAAGTGTGCTGAGGAACATTCAATGCAGAGCGATGGCATAAGCTGTACATATCGACTAATAGCATGAATTTCTGCATTATTAACGCGTACGGACCCAACGAACATTCTCCACTATTCTTTAAGTCAATAATGGATTCCACAACCTTTAAAGATATTCCTTTAATAATTGTCGGTGATCTAAATGTTGATTTAGACAAAAAGATGGGAATTATCCTAATTTGCATCTGCTTATCATCTTAATGGCTCAACTTAATTTGATCGACGGCGTAAAGAAAAACAGTCCCCAGCAGCTCATTTCATGGAAGAGAGGATCCCAATCTTCGCGAATTGACCACGCTTTGGTCTCATCGTCAGTCTTTCGACAAATTAAAGGTACAGCCTATAAACCAGAGCCTTTTTCAGATCATTTCATTTTAGAAATTGAGATGAATTTCTCCCCATGTAAAAAGTCCTTTAAAGTTCCAAAGTGGGTTACCAAAGAACCTAAATTGGAGATAAGCTAAAGAAAATTTGATACAGAGCTTCAGTCATTCTTTATCGTCAGATAAGATTGCCACTGTTTTTAATAGAGTGGTTCGTATATCTACCTTAGACTTTCTATATAAACGCTGGAAGCACGCAAAGGAACGACAGAAGAAAATGGACCTCACACTTACTAAACGTTCGTTATTTCTCCAAACATTCTCAGCGGAGGTGATTAACTCTTTTAGAATTGCTGAAGTGGCGGAATCGGAAATGACAAAAAAGTTGAAGCAGAAAGTAACCCTTACACACGGACGAAAGACTTATCGCCAAAAGAAAAATTCTCTGCAAATTCGATTTCAAAAATTAAGGACAAGGGTAGAGTCTTGACTCGGCCAAACGATATTTTAAACTGCTTCTATTCACAATTTCAGGAAATCGTTTACTCTAACAATGTATACTTTCCTAGAAAAGTGAATGTTAAGCATTGTAAATTTTTTACCATGGATAGGATTACAACATACATCAAAAAGAAATTTAATCCAAAAAAGGCTTCTGGCGTTGATGGTGTCATTGGAGAAATCTATACATCTTTTCCGGAAGAAACAGCTCCTTTTCTTCTTCGTCTGGGAGAATCAATGGAAAAAAATGGAAGGCTACCGAGATCGCTCACAAAAGGAAGAATAGTTCTTATCCCCAGAAAGGAAATGGGACATAAATAACCATTGGAGACCCATAACTGTGCTCAATCAATCCTACAGAATTCTTTCCGGAGTTTTGGCTCAAGAAATGGAAAAGGAGCTCAATAAAAAAATTGGA